CATCAACCATTAACTTCTTGAGAATATGGGCGTCAAAATAGCCGTCCTGAATATTCTATAAGAATAAGGAATGATAATATGAATAAGGAAGACCGACATTCCAGTGGTTACAAACCTTCATTTTTCCTTCTTTTCCTAGCTAATCAAATGATATGATGCATTTAACATTCTAGCCAATCACAGAGAATAGTCCGTTTAAACGACCCCCTAGCATCTCTGAACAAAGCACTTTATCATACGTCATGGAATCCGGTTTGGAGAAATTGAGCGGATATGAACAGATATCTTTATATTTTGTTAAGGACATTTATTGTTTTTATTTAATGCTTGAACAGATTGATTTTGCTTGCATGACAGGTCCTGACATTAACAAATTTGGTGAATATTTCCTTAAATACAAAACAAAAATAATCGTAGTCGCTATTGAGAGGTAAAATTTTCTGAATTAATGGATGATTAGTCGTTAATCTACAGGCAGAAAGTAATCAATGCTTCGAGGGAAAAGTCTAAAAGTACCACCCTTAAAGTATGAGAGTGCTTCCCTCATTATTTTCAGTGTGCTTTCGCTATTTCTTTATTTTATGTTTGTAGTTATTCAAGTTGTTACTGAGCTGAACAAAATTCTATTATGTCATTGTATTTTCCTAGAAATCACCTTAATATGAATGAAAGCGATGCTCAGGAATTCCTGCATGCGATGAGCGTCATCGTTGATGACCTGAACTTCAAGACAGAGAGCGCTTTGGACATGAAGATCGCTCCTCATTTCAGACTCTGGGTGCTACTCGCTATGATCTTCGGTATTTTGCTGCTGATGAGTAAGAAACTCGTAAATGTGTCGAACATAGGTGAACATGTTCTGTTTTAGCCGTGGTCATTTGCTGCTTCGCGAAAATCCGAATTCCTCGAACGAAGCGAGAAATCGAATTGAACGCCGCTAGCCGAAAGTTGCTTAGCGGATCCAGGAAATTCTCGTGCCTACCATGTGCTTTTACAAACCGAAAGCACAGTAAGGTTTCTTATTTACTTTGCTCATCTGCACTGAGTTCTCAAATTTCATGCTAAATGCAATCAATAAGGCGTAATCTGTACAAACCAAAAACTTATGTATTCGATTTTTTCTGACATTCAAACATCTTACTTCGAAGTACTTCTTCATTTGATTAGGATCCAGACATTAATGCTATGCGCAGTTAATGTAGTCTGTGAAACAGCTCTGCTCACTTGACGGACCTTCTCTTCTGTGCCTGCCCTGAAGATGGTGAACATATGAAAAGGGCAGCACATCAGATGATCGAGAACGACACATTTTTATTCCATACAACTTGGTATCGAATACTTATACTAAAAGTTATATATCTCGAAACAGCGGACTGTTCCTTTTGTACCGCTGGTTCAGTGAGAGTCAATCTGCGCGTGTTCGTTCAATTTCAGGAATCACGGCCATTGTTCATTAGCGTCCTCTCTTAGAATCGTTCCCTGAGATAATTTCAGATATTATTGGTTTCGTCCTTTGGCTTGTTCTATCAGAGAATATTGGCTGTTGATTATTCTAGTCAGATTCGTTTATTATTTAGAAACTTCTTTTCGTGTCTGATCGCCATAGATCGTTTTACGCACCAATATCTCGCACAGGCCCTGCCATGACCTGCGGCCATATCAACGTTTTGAATGGTACAACTGCAATCTAGAGTAATTCTTCCTGTTTTTCTGTCGATCCTTCTGATATCAGTGTGGTCCTTCCCGTGGGTGAGCCGTTAGGAATAATTCCAAGGTTCAAACAATGGTTGAAAATAATGCAGCATTCTAGACTTTTTAATTTGCTCTGTTCTGTTGTCGCACTTCAGTAACGTAATGATGTTTCCAGCATGTTCTGTTAATAAATTCATATAGGTCTCTCACTAATTAACATTGATTTAATGTTTAGATGATGAAGAAGAATGTGCTGGCAGTACTCTTGTCATCGGAAACACTGAAGCGGATGTCGCTACATAAGCCTGAACATAATTGCATAGGATCGAAAGTTATTGCTGTCCGTATTTCATCATTGATTAGTGTTGTTTCTTTCACGAATTTCTGTTTTGCTTTTTGCCAGTTTTCTTTGGATCTCTTTATTCGCCAATTAGATCTCTTTATTTAGACACCGGTTTATTTAAAAAACATAGTCTGATTACGGCGTTAATTAATAATTTAGAACGTAACTCCTACTTTTTTCACCTAACGATGTAAAGCAGTTGCCATTGCACTCGTTTGTTCTTGCTCTGACTCGAGGTGTATTGCCTACTGCTGTTTTTGTTATTATTCTGTTTCTGTGATGATTTTTCAATATTTCACGTTTTTGTTGAAAGTCATGAGTTTTAAAGATTCTAATCAAATACTAAATTGTACCATATTAATTTGTAGCGACATGCCAAACTGGTGTAAAAATTGCGTGAAAATTGCTTTGGATCGGAGGTTTCCGCAGAGCGTTGCTACATGGATAACGTACGCCTTTGAATAATCGTGCTATTGTACCCCATATTCAGTGTGGACTCAGGATCGCACGACAGCAAAGTATGTTGAGTGGATATTCGTGAGCCATTACTATAAAATGGAGTCGTATATGAACACTGGTTAGCGAGGTCTATTAGTTTCATTGTGAGGTAGTATTAGCGTTTAAAGATGGTGCTAAGAAGACATTATTCTGATGATATGTTTAGACAGAGACATGAAAGGCAATAATTTTTCTTGGGTATACTCTGTGCTAATATATTACGTTGTACAATTAGCTATCATGTGGATGAAGATGTATTGCAGCCCTTAAAGGATAGACTAACAGCAGAGACAGCATGGCATATTTGTACGGTCATACCGAAATGGACAAAATGAATGGCCATGTCTGATGAGAATGCATCTTGTGGCTGAACTTCGCCTTGACTCACCTGATAGCTGGCTGTTCAGTATAGTGATCAGGTTTGGCGTTGGGTTCAAGCAAGGCACAATAATTAACGAAAGAAAACTAGTATTATACGCAGCAAATAGAAATTTTAAGATAGGTACAATATGATAAATGAGTATAAATTCGGTAAAACACGGCGGCAACTTCAACTAGAGTCTACGAGAAAACGTGTACCATACTGTAATGTAATCAAAATGATTCCTTTGAGTGCAGTTATAACAGAATATGTCTTAATCGCAGCAGAGAAAAACACTGAACGAAGTGAACAGAACAGTCAAATCTGACATTTAATGAAGAACGCCTGGCGGTATCATGAAAGATTATGGCTGTATGACTGTAGACAGTGCCTTTCAAATAAGGTACTAGTGGACAATGGCATAAGAACGGATATCATTACTGCAACATCACGAAACACGGCCGCCAGAATTGCCCAATAATGAAAGCGATGGAATACGGACATTGAAATATTGAAAAACTTTTCCTTTCTGATATCTAGACCCCTAGCTCTTGCGGGGAGCAACACATGGTTCTAACGCCATACTTAAACAGTTGTATGCTTTCATTCCGTTCCGATAGTAAGGAATCACCATCAACGACAATTCTGCTTGAGGATGAAAGATCTTGATAGTTATTTTCTCTGTTCTCTCCGTAATTCGTTAGTCTGATCCTGCGAAGTGACAGAGTTGTAATATCTGCAAATTTCTTAAGAATATTGTTTGTACAATTTTAGCTTTCACCAATGCCTCCGTGTGGAACCGCTGTGGGTAGGCTTGTTACATACATTTGTTTTTAGGTATCTCCGAAATCGAAATCAGGGTTGCGTTATGTACTAACTACTACACTGGATAATCAGCTATTAGATGGATCAAGGTAAATTTCAACCACAACGAGCGCTCGCATAAAACAGCATGGCCATACACTTCGTTGCCTTGGTTCGTCAGCGTTAGTTTCCTTGACTTTTGGAGTGCATTTGATTCGCTATGTCGTCCGACGACGTCGAACATCTTGAGACGTTATGGAACGCCCAAATCCATTATTTCCCTTCAGGAAGAGACGTATGCACTGCTAATTTTCGCTGGAAAGTTTGAGAGAAAGCTATCTTAATTATTCCCTACTTACTATGGAGTTCGCCAGAGAAATGTTCCTTTCGCTCTTGCCATTCAACACTATTCGATTATCTTCTCCAAAACATTCCTGAACGTGGTTAAGATGAAGGTCTCGCTCTCTTAGAAAGGCTTATTTCAAGATATTCTGCTAACATGCAGTACGCAGATGATATTGTTCTGAAGAGTGGCATGGTGAGCGAGCTTTGTGACCTAACATAAATAGCTGAAATGCTTGCCTTTTCTCAATTCTGTATTGTCAAAAATCGCACCATCTGACAGAACTGATCTACAAGTGGAACAGAGAGGGGAAGTCCTTCATAACCTTAACCAGTTCATGCATCTCGGCTCGATGAATTCCAGCAATGGCGCAATCCATCTAACGTTAAGTTGAAGGATCGCCCAAGCGTCTACCTGCTTTGTATACCTGTTGAATATTTGGGCTGTGAACAGAGTTTCTCTGACAAACAAAATCAGCGTTGTACTTCGCCTCTGTCAGGTCAATGATATCGTGCGGCATGGAAATAGTTCTAACAAAGAAACAAGATTGATGGCTTTACTGCATATTGTAGTGCTGACTTCGAAGCAAATGAAAATTAAATGACAAGATCACCTAAGGAATGAATTCATAATCTATTGGATGCATATAACCTCGACATGTTGACATTAAAAATGAGATTTACCCTCTTATGCACACTGGTTCAGCAGGCATAATGTTTTCCAGCTAGTGCGCTTTTCGAGTGGTAGCCCAAGCACAAGCAGGCGTCGAAAGAAGGACAGCACGCATCATGAAGTAACAAACTAGAGGCTGATATGGCTTTTGGGAAGAACCTTTTACTGCAACGTAGTAACCAGTGCATTTTAGCAGAATTGTCGAAAAGCAGTGAATATCACAAACTAGAGATGCTCTGCTAACGCAAACGGCTGAAGGTGATGTTCGCAAACAACCGTTCGCATGTCCACACCGAAGCGCTACGCTGTCTTTATTTTTCGCATGTAAACAATGCGATATTAAATTTTAGGCTAACTGCGATAAACAACAGTGTGAAATTCTCGCTAAAAGGAATTAGCAGTTAACAAGAGAAACTTCAGGTCGGTCGATCATTGATATGTAAAGCAATTTGCTATCACTGTTAAAAAAATGCACATATCTGAATTAATAGGAATAACCCACAAAGTCTTTATGATGTAGGAAATTTGTTTTCAGCTACAAATGTATGATAGTGAAAACTACGGCGCATTATGCTTTTGCTGAAAACTATTTGCTTTATAGTATTTGCCACTCTCATGCATTATACAGTTGCATATGCGCAGGTACTTTAATATGCAGTTACTGTAGAAAATATCTAAATTGATCAAGAGGGAAACGAGCTGCAAATGAATTACAATCGAATATTTTGATGGTAAGTTTCTTATTAATAATTGGCATCATACGCACAAGCGTTTGAGACAGATGAGCTGTTACCATGTATTTTGTACAACTCAATTAGGCAAGGCAGGATTTAACTTTGAAGCTGGGAGTGCGAGTATATTCTTTGGACAGTTCCATACTAATTTTGACGTCAAACACTATTTCGGAGCACATGAGTTCTTTACTCTTTAAGTACTTTATGTTTCTTCTGTAACGTTTTATGTCCAGTTCTTCAATAGCTTTCGCTTTTTATGCTATGAGTTTTGTTACTATGTAAAGCGACTTTACACCATTCGAACTTATACTGCGACGTTTGGACACTGCAATGCTCCTTAAATAATTCCTCTGTGATCATTACATATCTGCTAAATAAATTAACTTTTCTTCTATTTCTCTGCGTTCTGTTAATTTGAATAACAATTTATTTAATGATAAAGGTATTTACAATCGTCTGATATGTAATCGTTTTTCCTGTTGCATCGTGCTACTCAGTGAGTTTCAGTGCAGGCTTGCTCTTTCGGGTCGCGGATGCAAAATTGTCAGACAGTGGCTCTCTAGGATATCTGAACTCCGGATCATGTTAAAATTTGTGAGCCCAGCGGTTTGTCTCAGG